GTGTGTGTGTGTGTGTGTGTCCCACAAAGCCTCTTAAGATGATACATTTACCAAACCGTGACAAAAACCCTCGACGTTATTTGGGGTTATACAGCTTCAGGATTTCACCACGGTCCTTCACAGAGTATAATAATAATAATAATAATAATAATAATAATAATAATAATAATAATAATAATAATAATAATAATAATAATAATAATAATAATAATAATAATAATAATAATCCTTACCTTGCTGTGTGTCTTCTTCTCCTCTGTTTGATATGAAGTCACTGAAAGTCTCTCTGCACCAGAGGCCCATCATCTCATCTTCTCCTCCTGGGGAGTGTGTGTGGGGGGGTGGGGGGTGTTGTGAGGGTGTTTTGTTGGGGTCCACATGTACAAAACCTCTGGGACAGCAGGGAATACATTTCTCTAAATTCTCGTTTTTTCGCGAGGAAAAAATAATTTAAGGTTAAAGAGTTAGGACCGAGCTGCTCCGCGTTTTTCCTCAAAAAAACAAACCGAAAAAATCCTATTACCTATTGTTTTAATCATAATCTTTTCTATTTTGAGCAGTAAACACGTTTGATCCTATTTTGTTCTTTTACCAGGCTATATTTGATTATCATCTAACTTTAATTAAACTTATTTTTAGGAAGTAAAACTATGATCTGCTCTGTAACTCTGTGGTCACAGAACCTGCTCTTCAGACTGAGTCCCTACTGCAGTACCACACGTCAATATTTTAAAAAATATATATCGAATTGATGTGAAATAATACGAAAGTTTACCCCCAAAAAATATAAGAACAAAAAACCTGACTTTAAACTTCACTGTCGTCTTCCAGAGGTGTTGACATGTCACCAGTCCTCACTGGGATGGTGTCGCTGCTTCACTGTCATTGGCTGAGTGAGGAAAAGTAACAGAGAGAGAGAGAGAGAGAGAGAGAGAGAGAGAGAGAGAGAGAGAGGATGAAGGGGAAGGGAGAGCCCCTCCCCCCTCCCCTCCCCCCAGAGACTCAGATACACAGACCCAGCTCAGCCCTGGTCCTGCGGCTCCTATTGGCTGACACTTTGTACAAAATCCAACTCCAACCACTTGAGTCACAAACACAACCAGTAAATTGGACCAGGCGTTCATGCAGCCTCCTCCATCACGGCTCTGCTCCTGCCTCTGCTGCTCCGCTCCTCCGCCTCACACGGAGGTCCAGCGTTTCACTGTTCCGCCTCCGAAGTCTCCTCCTGCTCCTGCTCCGGCTCCTGCTCCGAAATCAGACTTGAAATCTGCTCCGTTCGCAGCGTTTTTTATTCACCAGGACGTCGTCGATCTGCGCTGACTTTTATCATTTCTCCTGGAGGAATTTACGAAGACAAAGACCGTCAAACTCCTCCACACCGAGGTGAATTATTATTATTATTATCATTATTATTATTATTGTGGTTGTGCTATAATTAAATCGACTGCAATCATTAAAATAAAAATAACAATCGTTTGTCCAACACATTTAAAAAACGTCACATTTAAATGTATTCATTGTTGAGTTAAATATAGTGAACGGTGACAGTGGTGGTTTAAGAATAGCAGCGGTTACTGGTGCAGTTCAGTGGCATCGAGATACAAATGACGGCCAACAATTCAGAAAAGTTTTAAATTCGAATTCCAACCAATGTAGCTGTGATTATTATTGAAACGAAAACCAGGGTGAATGTTCCAGTTCGAACTGAACTGTGGGAGAAGTGATTTATCTGAATACACATTAATTACTGCGATAATTAAAGACTGTGTTAAAGTAGATCGTTATCTGCTGGTTGGTTAAAAAAAGGAAGACGTTAATCTGATATCGTAGAAATAATAATATATTAAACTGTGTAGAACTGGTGTTTAAAGCAGTTTTATTCTGTATCTCGTCAGACTTTCGCCTGTGTCGCTGCCGGTCAATAAGTCTGTGTTGAATTCAGATAAATTTCACTCTCTTTTAATTCACCTCACATTTAAATCCAAAGCTAAACAAATAATATTACCTAAAAAGAATCTAAACTAGAATTAAATAACAAATACATAATACATATATTATAAATATTTTGGGCCTTTTTTCTGCTTCCGGTTATTAATAATTACTAGTGAATTAAAACAACACCGCGAGACTTCGGAATACTTTCTTCTCTTCTTCTTCTTCTGTTGATTAAAAAAACAGACCCGTATATTATGAATCAGAATGAAGTTATATTTTAAACAAAATAAATATAAATAGAACTAAAGCGATGTGGGATTTGTTTTCATCGACAGACCGTAACTTCCTCTAAACTAGCTCATTAAAAGTGTACGGTATGTTGACGAAAGTGCGGGTCAGAGTCGTTATTATCGAGCGGCTGTGTGTAACTGCTGTAGACCGTGGCGTGTGTGTGTGTTTTTAACGTGACAGATTGGGACGAGGGGCTAAAAACCGTTGGATAATGAAGGGGGGGAAAAAGTGCAACTAATCAACAGACACAGTAGGAATAACGGTGAGAGTCAGTGAGGTTGACGTGACACCAGTCACTCAGTCACCTCACACAGGCGTGGGGTTTCAAACTACCGACGTCTGGCAGGAAATTAATTGCACCTGAAGGAGCGGGCAGTGTAGCCGGGGTTATATTTTAGGTCAGAAATGTTTTTCAAAAATCTTAATATCTTTTATTTTAAATTAGTGGAACCAAACTGTTTTAATCCTAACAAATATGATTCGAGTTCTGGAATAATTGTTTAAAAAATCGAGATAAAAAAAGTTATATTTTTTAAATCCTCACTTTATACTAGTGCAGCAATCCTTTAAAGTGAAATAATGGGGAAAAACACAGAAAATGAGAATTGTAATTCTATATGAAATAAATTAAACACAGAAAATGAGTTCGGGAATTGTAATTCTATATGAAATAAATTAAATTAAAATGTGAATGTATGTTATTTATTTTTTTACTTGTTTATTTTTATAATTTAAGGATTTTTTGTTGTTGCAATCACAAAAGCTGTTTTTTTTTTTCTAAAAGTGGTTGTAATAATTACATTTAGACTTTATACATGTGCTGATAAAGTATACGCCGTGTGTCGAGTTAAAACCGTTGTTCTTTTCTGATTCTCCTTCGTTGGAACAGGAGTCCGGACCAGCGCGGACCTCAGGCAGAGCAGAGTTCGCACCGGGAGCTCCACCAGTTTTCAAAATTTTCCCCAACTTCAGCCCTCAGACAAACATTAGCATGATGTCGTATCTAAAGCAACCACCTTACACAGTCAACGGCCTCAGCTTAACCACGTCCGGCATGGATCTGCTGCATCCATCAGTGGGGTACCCAGGTACGTCACCACTTTAATTTAATCTACATGATATATTACATATTTATCATTTAGAAGAAAAAAAATCTGATGAATATTTTTACTTGTTTTTTACAAAATTAAAATATAGTTGAATACATTATTTTTTTTTAATTTTTATTTCCGCCTGCATTACATTTGTACCCCATTAAAACAACAAAAATGATGTAATTGCCCCGGGGCGCTTCAGTCTCCAAGGGCTTGTGCGTAATTACGCGTGCATCAAAGAAAATTACAAATGACCTTTAATCTTTTTAAAGGGCTTTACGTGTAACTTTAATGCAAAAATATCATTGAAGGTAAAATGACTAAAATATATATTTTTGGGGTTTTTTTTTCTACAGCGACGCCGAGGAAGCAGAGGCGGGAGAGGACTACTTTTACGCGCGCACAGCTCGACGTCTTGGAGGCGTTGTTCGCAAAAACTCGCTACCCGGACATATTCATGCGCGAGGAGGTGGCGCTGAAAATCAATCTACCTGAATCACGAGTGCAGGTGAGGAATATATAATTATATATATCTTTTGTATATACATTTAAGACACCTAAAAAAAATGAGGGTGAATAATTCGAAAATTAACTTAATTCATTAAATGTATTTATTTGTTAAGTTCATTATAAGTAAATTATTTCTACCAAATAACTGCTACGTTGTGTTTAACGATTGGAGGAACAATACAAATAAATGAAATCGAACTCTAATTTAAAGGTTTGGATTGTAAAATATACCACTTACTGTGATATTTGAAGTTTTTTTTTTCATCTGCGCTTCAGGAAAAAAAACTCAGATTCACCATAACTGAAGCTTTTTTTTTTTTTTTGCTAAGATCAAGTGAGAATCTTTCGCCGAAGGGGGGAAATTATTTTACTTTTAAATTGGCGAGTCCAATGAGACGGATCATTTCACTGCGTGGAACCGAGCGCAGTTCTGTAAACATTTTTTCATAGTTTAAAAGCGTATTCAATTGACAAACGTTTAGTTTGTGGTAAAAAAAAACAACTATATTTTTGGAATTTTTCAGTTTAAAAAATAGAATTGTGTAATTAATGTGGTCCGTGTTTTTATTTATCTGAGACATGAAATTGAGTTTTTCACTCCGTAGTTCTGTCCAGTTTAACTATTTCCTCCCGGGGATCCATAAAACATTTCCCTTTTTGTTTTTCATACATAATGTATAATGATGGAGTTCATAAAGTCTTATCAAACCAAACGCCCTGTGACTGTTCCAGGTGTGGTTTAAGAACCGTCGGGCCAAGTGTCGTCAGCAGCAGCAGCAGCAGCAGAACGGAGGCCAGAACAAGGTCCGACCGGCCAAGAAGAAAAGTTCTCCCACCAGAGAAGTGAGCTCTGAGAGCGGGGCCAGCGGTCAGTTCACGCCCCCCACCAGCACCACCACAGTCCCCGCCATCTCCACCAGCACCGCCCCGGTGTCCATCTGGAGCCCAGCGTCCATCTCTCCGCTCTCAGACCCGCTGTCTACCTCCTCCTCCTGCATGCAGCGCTCCTACCCCATGACCTACACCCAGGCCTCGGGCTACAGCCAGGGTTACGCCAGCTCCACCTCTTACTTCGGCGGCATGGACTGCAGCTCTTACCTCACTCCCATGCACCACCAGTTGTCGGGCGCGGGTTCCACACTCAGTCCCATGAGCACAAACGCAGTCACGAGCCATCTGAACCAGTCTCCCGCGTCCCTGTCCACCCAGGGCTACGGCACTTCCGGCCTAGGTTTCAACTCCACCGCAGACTGCTTGGATTATAAGGACCAGGCCGCGTCCTGGAAGCTGAACTTCAACGCGGACTGCTTGGATTATAAGGATCAGACTTCCTCGTGGAAATTCCAGGTCCTGTGAAGACACGGCGCCGCCGTCCCTCAGTGAAACTGGCTGAAAATGTGGCCCCGGACCCGGGGGTTCTGTGGGCTCTCAGGCGCCTCCCGCTTAATTTCTGGCATGACGATCCTTCGGTCCCGTTATAGAAGGAGTGTTTAATTTATTTTAGCCCTGGTAAAGAGATTTCCCGCGCGTTTATACACAGGTTAAAGCCACAGCTCCACGTCAGTCCGGCGTTGATAAAAAGAAAACACACCTGTTGAGGACAAGTGGAATGGAGTGGAGTGGAGTGGACTCTGGGCCAGAACCTCAACCTCAGCCACGGAACTAATGTTGATCCACGAACAAAAGTTTCAACCTCACGTCCCAGACGAAGTCTTCTGGATGGACAGAAAAACAAAATCCCTCTTTAGCGACGTGGACGCGGGCAGAGAGACACGACGAGGACGGAGGAGTGTTGGACATGGAAGGAGTGTTGGACATGGACGGAGTGTTGGACATGGATGCACTACTTTATTTAAGAAAAAAAAGTGTTTATAAGGAATCAATATGTAGTTTCTAAGAGACAATCAGTGTGTGTCTTCTATAAATGGTTCATTTGTGTTTTTTATCTGTGCTAGCATTCGAAACTGTGATCTGTTGTATTGTATGCAATTTGTGAGCGCCCCCTACCGACCCCACACCGTCAGACTCTCTGCTGTGATTTGAAAAGATTTCTAACTTTTTTTTTTTTTTTTTTTTGGAAACAACGAGAGGCGAAAATGGTTAAATCACAGACAGAGAGAGAGACAGAGAGACAGAGAGAGAGTGTAGACTTCTCTGTTAGACACGTCACTGCAAAAGACTGTCGGCTGCTTTTTCTCCACTACATTGAACGCATCACACGGTGACTGTGGATCCTTATTGGCTCCAAAGATGGTGTGACCTCACCGCTGAAAAAGACGCGAATAAAAGGTCCTGTGAGCTCACTCTGCACTCGTGTGTGTGTGTGTGTGAAAGAGAGAGCGCGCGTGCGTGTGTGCGTGCGTGTCTGTGTCTAATAAGTGGTTGTAGCGGTTGAAGTGGAAGTTTGGTTTCGCTAAAAAGGTCCTGGTTCGGCAAAAAAAAAACAAAAAAACGAAAACGATATTTAAATGTTAAAACTCGGTTCTGTAGAAATGAAATGTCCTCACAACTATGAAAATTATGGGTCAAAATGTTTTTAAACGAGGTATTTATTTATGAAGTAAATCAATTTCAACCGACTATTCAGATTATTTCCAAAACCACGAATATAATCCTAGCCATATTATTGGATTTAATGTTATTTATTTAAGTTATGTCTTTAAAAAACTTTTTTTTTAATTCTCAGGTGGAATTTTAAAAAAAAACATGCCTACCAACATTATTATTATCACTCTGGGGAACGAACGGATATTTAGTTTCCGTGAAAGTTTGATTTTCTTTATACAGTTTTAACCTGAGTGTTTTCTACTGTTGGTGTTTAAACGATGTTAACGGTGAGAAAACCACCACTGACGTGTTTGAGTCTTTCTGACAAAACTCGTTTCGTAAAAAAAAATTTAATTCAGAGTCGCTGTTTTTCTGGGGAGGGGGCTTTACCTCCTTCTTCTCTAGTGTTTGTTTCCCCCCGTGATTTCCGGTGATTCAAATCTCAACAAAGAGACTTCGCCCCGTGTTTTAATCCCGCTGCCTCCCACAGATGTTAATCCCAATATTTCAGTGGCGGCTGTTCCTCAGGGGTGAAGGACGGCGGTGGTTTCTTCCATCAAAGCCCACCAACATGGGCTTTATGAACCTGAGCCCCAACTGTGGGCTCTGATATCATATGACGTCATCATGTTTTAATTTCAAAACCAGGGATACTACAGTAATTCATATGTAAAACTGCACTTTTACTTTGGTTTTAGGGACTGTGCGATGAACACAATGTCGACGTCACTGACGGGCAGTTAAATCTTACTGCCCTGTGGCAATTATAGTGAATTTGTAGAAATTTAAAAATGTCAATTATGACTCATTTTTACCACTGTCTCAACAGGTTCTCCAAAAATACGTAGTAATATAAAGTCAAATATTAACCAGTTTTTGTGAATGCAAATTTTTATCACGTTTCTTCAAATTTAATGCGAATTAAATGTGAGTCAGGTAAAAAAAGGAAGAATAATTCTGTGCTGCCATTTGATTTTTTAGTTATTATTAGTAAAAACCGAGAAATAACCGACTTATATGATTTATCGGTTTTTGTTCCGCGATTATTGAAGATCACAAACATTTTATGTTTGGAGCCCAAGGCTAACATCTTTAGAAAAAGCCAAAAATAAATAAAAAATAAAAAAATAAATCTAGTTAAATCTCAAGTAAAGTTCAAATAACTTTTTAAACGACGATAAAAACCGCTTCAAAAACCACCTTCATAAACGACCCTCATCTACAGCATCGTTTAAATCAGTCAGAAGGTGGCGCAGCAGCAGCTCTGTCCTAGTATCGTGTCTGTGTCTGTGTTTCTTGAACTCCCTGCAGCTGTTTGTTCTAAAGTCCTCTCCGCATCGCGGTGTACCGTCAGTCAGTCAGTCCGCCCGTGGACACAGCACTGAGATCACACTCGGTCTGTGTAGAGTGTCTGTAATGAGGCTGCGCGCCTCTAATTGTTAGAAGTCCAACATTCAATTAGCGTCCTTGACATTTGCCAATAATCTCTCTTTCATTCGGCGCTGAAGGAGCGAACTAATTAAAAGCGTTGCTTGAAATAATCGAAGCGTTAAAGAGAAGAGAAGAGAAGCGGGGCTGCAGGTGCACGTCACTGCACCAAACAACGACGTCATGTCACTTTAATAATAATAATAATATATACATACATAAATATATATATTTATATATTTATATATGGGTTTTATTTAAAGGCTCAATGGTTCAATGTTCAGGGTCAGGATCAGAGTCCTCGGTCCGGGACCATCTGCTCCTAAAGTTCAGTGTTATTTTAATGATATTCAAGTCTGAGTTCAGTAACAATCAGCAGCAGCAACAGCGTCACAGGGATAAACAATGGTACAATTGAACTTGTGGGACACGAGGCCTGAATATTCATGAGCTGCGTCTCCTCTCAGAGCCACGACAACCTTCACACATCCATCCATCCATCCATCCATCCATCCATCCATTTTCACAAAAAATAAACTACATTTAGTACTAAATTTAACTCATTTAAGAATATTTAAAAATGAACACCGTTAACACAGTCGTTGTAAATTACCAGGGAATTTAAACAACCAAAAAAAAAAAAAACCAACACAGACTTCTGAGAGCTTAGATCTATATGACTCATTTTTGACCAACCCAGAAAATATATATTGGAAAATATTCTATATATTTATAGACTTTTTTTACTTTTGTTTTTTTTTAGACATTTCAGGGTCTAATTTGTGGGCCACACACTGGCAAAATACCACATAAAAGTAGACCAGAAAATACAACTGGTACAGACGTGCGATTTTCTTGATTATGTTTTAAATACTTTTTTTTTTAAAAAACGAAAAACAGTCAAAAATAGCTCGGTTTCTTTTAAGCATTTGGGCCACTTTTTTTTTTTTACACGTGACTCAATTTAGCGCTCGTGCACATTTTGGGCCACATGAAGACGGGCACATGAGAATTATATCTGTAGTGAATACAGTAATATATCGTGGAATATTTTTAATTGCAACTTTATAATAAATTGTAGCGGATTAACCGACATTTCGATTAACCAGTCGATTGTTTTTTCATAATGAACAATGATGACGGTTTTCTTAATCACAGGTTTTTAATCAAACCTCAAATAAAAAAAAGTTAAAATATAATTGATCCATAACCAGTATATAAATATTATACATTATGATGTATTCATGTTTTGTGTGTTTAATTCTGGGCAGTAAATAAACAACAACAACAACAACAACAACATGCTAAAAGACTAGACTACAGTAAACTACACCAGAGCAGAATGAAACTAGAAAATATGACACATAAATATGTTCTCACCAAAGTAAATATATATATATGTATATACAAGTATATAAATACATATAGTATAGAGATACTTTGAAGAACTTCACGTTTTACTGTGGACTAAAAGAATTGACTAATTTTTTTACTTTCAATTCAGACGTAAAAACTACCGTCGATTAATCGACAGTGTCCAAATACCGGTCTGGTTCATTGATAAATCGTCGCAGTCCAGTACTTGTCACTTTGAATTTCTTCTCTCGGGACGTTTTCATCCGAGCTCACAGTGGACACAAAAGCCGGTTCCTACTTGTTATTGTAACCTCGGAGCCTTCGGTCTTTAAAGTGCACAAGTCATGAGGACACACACACACACACACACACACACACGAACACACACACAAAGAGTTTTAATCCAGAGCTGAGGCTGAGGCTGAGGCTGAGGAGCATATGGAGTCAACAGACGCTGCTTTAATCCCTCCTGGTTGTTGTGGAGCAGCGGGCTGTCCACAGACACTGTCCCCCGGTCTGTTGACTGTCCGACCGGACTCAGATGAGTCGGTCCATTCACAGACTGCCAGTGTGGATGTGGTGAATGTGGTGAATATGGTGACGGAGGCCGCGCAGAGTCTCGGAGGAAAAAAAAAAGATAGAGAGATTTTCTGAGACTCAGACTGAGCAGAGGAGACGGAGAGTCTGCGTAAAGTCTGCGCAAAAATAGAACAATCACGTAAAGAAAACGAGATGATTAAAAAAATAACTCACGGATATTTTTTCGATTTTCGATTAAAAAAACCAAGCACGTTATTTAATCTAAATATTTAATTTGAGAGATTATAATATCGTTAATACACGATAAACCGATTTGTAAAAACAAGAACAAGAAACGAGAGTGACGAAATATTCACAGAGAAAAACATGGCGAATTTGTTAAATAAAGTTCGGCTAGAATGTGGAAAAAGTCAAATCTAACGAAAAATAACTTTTATTTTGTTAAATCTATATTAAAGCTGTTGTACTGACGTAACAAAGAAAAATAAAAAAATATTTGAATTTTTACGGTGGCTGCGATGACTTCCGGTGTCATGAATATGGACAAAAAAATACAAATACACCCGGGCTGCATTAACAATAATTATTCACATTTATATAATAATTTTAAAAAATGTGAACTTGTGTGTTGATACTGCTGAGTTTCTGTCAGGACAAAACTGGAAAAACTGCAGTAATGATAAAAAAAAATAATCAAAACATAAGTTATTTATTAAAGTACTTGTTAAATAATGTTTTTATGTTTTACGACTGAAGATTTTCAACTGAAACACGAGTTCCATCCCGTCCTCATCAGAATTAAAAAGTCTGAATTTCACATGGATCTATGGCTGAAGACTGAACAAGAAAACAGAAAGAACGCCACCAGCAGGATGACGTGAGGAAAACGTGTTGACAAGTAAAAAAAAAACAACAACAAAAACACAGAAACAAAAACCCCACATCACAAAAACTGCTCATATTTTTAAAGCTAATCCAACGGTGCTGATCCAGGCTTAGTCAACATTTTATGAAATTATTTAAGTTTGTGACATCATCAATGAATTCGATAATCTTGTCAGAGATTAAATTAAAAGGGTTTTTTTTGTGTGTGGCTCTCATAATAGCAGCTTTAGATGTGTTAAAAATGAAATCTAAAGAGATTTGAAATTTAAAAAAAAAAAACAAACATGTTATTTTAATTTCTAAAAACCAGTGCGTGGATTTACTGAGATCCTCTGATGATAAAGACAGGATGAGCTGCTGGTCTGAATCAGTTACAGCCCATAATATAACAGCTGCAGAACAAGGAGATAGTTTTGTTTTAAATCTAAGTATTAATAATGAGTACTTTCTCATGTCAAAATACTAGGAAAAATATTTTTATTTATTTTTAGTTTTTTTCATCCTGTCTGAACCACAGAGGGTTTACACGTCCATGAGACACTTGATGACGTTGTTTGGACTTACAGTAAACGGGGTTGGTCGGGGGGGGGCAAAGGTCGAGGACACAAACGTCCATTAATGACGCATATTTTGTTAAGCTATTCAGAGAGAAACAGCAAATAAATCCAGCTTAAAGATTAGATCTGGGCATATGTTATTATCACTGG